GCTCTAGCATTCGTCTTCTTGGTTGGGAGCTTAGGCCGCGAAACCCTTTTCCTCCATCCTCAAGCTTCATCAGGTTAGTTTCCATGATGTCTTCTTCGAGTTCCGTCCCTCTGCACCATGTATTTCTTCCTTAGGAGAATGAATATACTAGGGAAAAAGACCTTTTAGGACGGGGTGAGAGGGAGAAACCTTTGCGAAATTATTGAGTTATGAAATGCATGAAATTCGTGCTTATGTGAAGTATGTGGAGTAAGTAAGATCCTTCGTATTTGTTTATGTGTTTGAAGTTAGTAGAGAACTTGTATAACGTAGAAGTTGAGCTTAGGATCCTTCGTATAATATACGTAAATTTTTGAAGTGTCACACGTGTAATCTACGCACATCCTCCAGGTGGGTGGCTTAGGAGCCAAAACCACATTGGCGAGCCACTCCAGGTATTGCACCTCCCTTACGTGCCTGATGCCCAGCAGCATGTTCACTTCACTTTTCACGAACTCCTTCTGGCCAGGGATAAGTATCTTCTTTTTTGCTTCACGGGTGTCATTTTTGGATCTACGTTTAGACGATGAACAGCGATACCTGGATCAAGCCCAGGCATATCCTCGGGTCCCCAAGCAAAAATCATCTTGAATTCTGCCAGAACTCGGACTATCTTTGCTATCAGGTCGGCCGGGAGTCCCGCCCCAATCTTAACTTGACGTTCTGGCCGAGAAGGGTCGACCCCGACCTCCTCAAGCTCTGAGACCGGCTGAGCTCTTAGCTGCCCGACCTCATATTTAGACAAGTCCTGTTCGATGGCATTGATCCTCATATCATTTCTCGCGTGAGCTTTGCAGGCTCTCACGTAACAACTCATGGCCATCTTTTGGTGTCCTCTCACTGTGCCAATGCCGACCGGAGTGTAGAACTTCATGCACAGGTGAGCCTGGGAAATAATGGCTCCCAGGTCTTCCAATAGAGGCTTTCCTAGGATAGCCTTGTGCACACTCGGTATTTGGACAACGGTGAAATCCGCTTCGATCTCCCGTATGCAGGGCTCCGATCCAAGCTGAATCTTGAGGGTTATCATACCCTCAGGCTCGATCGTGTCTCCCGTGAAACCAAAGAGGGGAGTCCTCGCCTACTTGAGAGCCTCTTTCCGGAGTCCAACCTCCAGGAAAGCATCCAGGTAAAGTATGTTGACTGAGCTGCCATTGTCCATAAGTACCATGTGAACAATCGCGTTCGCGACCTCCATCTTGATCACCAATGCATCCCTATGTGGTGGGGGACATGGGGGGAAATCATCATCTGTGAAAGTTATAGACTCACGCTTCTGTTTCTTGTCGGCGGGAAGACGGCTGATCTCGCCGACGAGCAGCCGTCGGTTCCACTTCTTCCTCCCCCACTGTGTCTCCTCCCACAGGTCCGCCGTAGATCTGGTTGACATGTGGTCATTTCTGCCTACCGGAATCTTCCCCTTCATCGTCATCTTCAAATTGGGCCCCGACCTCCCTTTTCTTGGAGGATGAGGTCGGCACATCATTTTCCCTGTTCCAGGTATGTTTCTTCGGTGGATGCTTCCCTTGCTGAGCTCGCTTCACAAACTGCTCCAGTTGACCCTCCCGTACGAGCCTTTCCACGTACTTCTTCAAAGTGTAACAATTGTCGGTCTGATGAGATCATGAGAGTCGCTCTTGTGGATTTTGGAGTATTTGCTCTTGGGGTTCTGATTGTGGATGATATTGCACCCCTCAGGGGTGGCGATCAACCCGTGCTTTGCGACGTAATCCAGGACAGTACTCACCTGATGTGCAGAAGGAGAGAAATCTGGGTGGCTGGCTAGTGGCCCCTCAGGAACACCTGATTTGGTCTTTTCTGAGCCCTTCTTCTTCTTCCTGGTCCCATTCCCATTGTCAGAATCAAGAGCTTCCTTTTCAAGGGATTTCTTCCTTTCGCCCTCAGACTGGCGTTTCCCAGTTTCTTCTTCCTTCTTTTTCTTCTCAGCTTCTTCCACTCCGGCCTGCGCGTTAGCTCGCTGCAGGGCTTCCTCATGCGAAGTTGGAGGGTTTCGAACAAAATCCTTATACAACTCACCCGATCTCAGGGCATTGGTGAGTATAGCGACGGCGGACTTGTCATCGAGGTCGTCTATCTTCACGGATTCGTCCCTCCACCGGATCAAGAAATCAGCTAAGCCTTCCTGGGGTCCCTGCTTGATCCCCAAAAGATGAGAAAAATTCTTCTTGGAATCCTTAGAGTTGGCGAACCGGGTCACAAAAACATGGTCCAACTCTCTGAAATTCTGAATCCTTTCATTGGGCAGGGAATCGTACCACTCTCGGGCTGGCCCATCGAGTGTTACCGAAAACCCCCTGCACTTGATGGCATCATCATACCCCATCATCGCCATATACGCCACATATCTGGAAACATGGTTTTGTGGGTCTCTCTTTCTCCGGTAGGCCTCTATATTGTAAGGCTTGTATCCCTGGGGTAGCGGGGCGTCCATGATCTGACGAATGAATGGTTCAGGGATCCTTACTTCATGGTTAGGGTTGATCCTGTTGTCCACTTCCCTCCGGAGCTCGTCCAGCCTTCTCCTGAGATCATCGTTGCCCTGGCCCGCTCGTTGCCGAGGTGGGGATCGTCGATTTCTGTGGCCCTGCCGGATGGCGTTGATCTCATTCCTGAGATCTCCCCCACGCACGCTACGACGGTGGGACGAAACAACCATAGATGATGCCTTCACGATCGGCTCAGGTCGGGATGAGATCCTATCATGCACGGAGACCCTTTGTTCTCCGATTCGGTTCATCACTGAGGTCCTCGGGGTTGGTCTGGAACGATGGGAAAGTTAAGATCGGGATGGCGGCGAGCCTCTCCTAGAGTGCTCATGCCTCTCCTCCTCCTGCCGGGGCATGGACGGAGCCCGGCGAGGGGAAGGGAACCTCACACCCTCATCAGGGATGATGCCCTGAAAGGTAGTGGTCAGAGTCTCCACAACCCTTTGGAATGTCGCCAAACTCGCTAAAGCCCGGGCTGGATCAACATTAGGGATACGATTCCCTGTGCCTGGCGTCCGAAACTGCGGCGGTCGTGTCGCTGCCCGCCGGGAACTTCCAACACCTTGGAGATGATTCCTCAAATCCTCCTGTCCTGCCGTGTTATCGTTGCGCCTTCAAAAGTCACTCTGGCGCGACTGAGAACCTTCGTCCTCGATCAACACCTGTTCGAAATGATTATCGCCCAAATTGCTGCCCACACAGTTGTGGCAATGGGATCCAATCATGGTTCATCGCAGATCGAGCTCTCAATAAGAGCACCAAATAATGGAGCCTAATCCAACTACGAGAGCTAAATCTACAGGAGCAGATGAAAATTTGGCAGCGTAAGGCAGTGTACTATTGATCAATGTTTTCCCGATCCCCCTTTAGGAGGTTTACAAGTCGTATTTATAGGCTAAGGAACTAGTGTTACAAAAAGAAACTGATACAATAAATGCTATTAATTGTGCATTAGTTCGAATAGGACTCTTGTAATGTCTTGGCCGTTGTGCAATGATTGTTCCTTTATTCCCACGTTCCTGTCGTTAACTCCTGCCAGCTGCCGTTCTAATGATAGCGTGCCACGTCAGCCCTAGGAATATCCCAACCTCACTAGAACTCCGCCCAAGCTCGAGGCTTGCTTTCTAGCCTGACCTGGTTGTGGGTTCCTCTCATGGGCTTGGTCCCTAGTTTGGCCTAGTGGTTATCTAACATTAATCCCGTTTAAGGGCTAACCCCGCTAATGGTCTGCATCCCGTTATGGGCTGGATTGTATAATCGGGCCATGGTCGATGTCCATGTTACCATCACTCACAATTCCCATATGGTGTTTTTATTCAATTTATTTCTTTTTCAATATCATTTGTGCCTAACAAGTAGTTTTAGTCTAGGGCATCCGAAATGCTAAGTAGTCTAGGGCCTCCGAAATGCCATGTATTTTACCTACCAGTTCAAAGCTTCAAACTATGTTACTTTTAAACTAAAAGTGCCGAAAGAAACCGTTTGCTTTGGACCTTCCAAAATGTCAAAAGTTACTTAGAAATTGAAAATAATGTTTATTGCTTTTAAGGTTTCTCGCGCAATTTGCAGTAAATTTGACCAGCTCATATACGTGTACTATCAAACCAACTTAAATTTCTACGAAACATACTTCTATACAAACTTAATTAAGGCCACATAAGTTCAAATAGGGCTGAAATAATTAAAGTTCCGTCAATATAAATTTAAATCGAAATAAATTTAATTTAGGTTCTGTTTAGACAATAACCTCTAATTCAAACATTAGTCTTCAGTTTCAGCTCGTCGTACCGAACATAGCCTAAATCACATAAAGCTAAAGCAAACAAAATTCCATGAAAGTAAATCTGTAAGGCCATCCTGCCAGATTACTACAATTTCTTTTTCAATTTTGGTCTTTACTGTTACATCAATGTAACGTTTGTACTTTGTACACCGAAATGTGTACAGTTTCACACCAACATTTGAAATGTTTACTACGTACAATTTTTTCCCCTCGAAATGTGAAACCTTCCCAGGCCACCGGTGTTCACATAATAATGATATGGGATGTTTCACTTAACAGTCTTTTTTTTATTTACATAAAAGTCTCTCTTTACTTAAAAGTCTCTTATATATTTAAATATGGTCTAGTAAAAGTTCGGTATATGTTCAGTTTATCAAAAAGTTCTAGAAAGTTAGGACATTCGTGTTTACTTCGCTGCTAAAGTCACAGTTAGATTAGTAAGACAGATGAAGTAAACACACAGACTGTTAAAAAAACTGCTTACTAACTGAAATAGATGCTTAAAGTGCCGCTTAATTACTAAGCATACTACCCCCTCATGTATGAATTAAGCGGCACTTTATTAAGCTATTTCGGCTTCCGAAATTACCCTTACCCTTACCTCTTATGTTACCCCTACTACCCTACCTCTAACCCACTGCCCTATCCCGGGGCGGAGCCAGAAAAATGTGTGAGGGAGTCAAAATTTAATTATATACAGTATCAAAATGATGGATAGTTATTATACAATGCTTGAGTTAAACCTACAGATTCCCCTACATGCAAGCGAGTATGCCTCGTCAATGAGGAGGCAGAGGCAATGATCACTAGGGGGCCTAATTCTATTACTCGGTAGCATACAACAGAAGCTAATTTTACATCAAAATCAGCTTATGAGGCTCTTTGGCCTCAAGTAGGAATAAGCATTTTCATTTCTCAAATCTGGCACCCTAAGCAGGTACCTAAGATTCGAGTCTTTCTCAGGAGGCTGTGGAATGGATGCCTCCCTTTCCCTGAGCGACTGACAGTCTTCTCAATTGTGTTTCCTACTATTTGTCCGTTTTGTAGAGCTGCATGAGTTAGTCAGGACCATATCCTCCTTACATGCAGATGGTCCCAAGCTGTGTGGGCTTTCTTCACACACACCTTCATTACAACTAGTCAAAAGGCAAGCATCATTCAGTTAGAGCTTATGAGATGGTGGATTAGTAAAAAAGGGAAGTCTATGGATACGGTGTATTCGATGGTCTTACCAGGGGTTATTGCCTGCCACATTTGTAAAGCTTATTGGGAATCTGTCAGAAACAATTCGGAGCAGAGAACGGAGCTTTGGATACAAAAAATCAGAAAGTTTATGTTAGAGTGGTTTCATGCAAATCATAATCTTCGAGGATGCGAAAGATTACAGAGATTGGGTATTTTACCTAGCTGGTTTGGACGGAGGAAGCCCCAAATAGGAAGATGGAGAAAACCAGTGGCAGGCTCACTGAAACTGAATGTGGCTGTTCATCGAGGGAATGGAAAAAATGCGGCCGGTTTTCTGCTTCGAGACCATGCGGGCGGCGTGGTGGCAAGATGGAAGAAATTTTCCAAGGCATTTGAAGGGGTCTATTGCTTTAGATGCCTCAGAATTACCCTATATTTTTTTGTCCTTTTGATTTGCTCTATACTTTGAGCTTCTTTTGTTGTGGTTTTGGCTTCTGCCCTCCATGTACATTCAGATTTGGTTGGTTAATAAAATACGGTAGATGTTCCATGGCATCTACCTCACTGATTTTGGTGATTTACCTACCGGTTTAAAAAAACGTATAAGGTTACTTTGGACATTTTAATGTTAAACGTAATTTTAAATCCTGTGAAGTAAACATGAGTTTATAACACTGCTTATTTTATGCGCCGCTTAATAACGCAAGTCATAATAAGACCATTCAGTAACCTGTGAAATAAACGTGTCCGAGATGGAATGTGAAAATTAGTGGATGGTAATCTCTTTGAATGATTTGAACCGGGAAAGCACTATCTCAGCTTCATATCCTTGATAAAAAGTGTATTTTAACCCATATAGAAAGAGTTTTCTGCACTAGTGAGATAATCCCCGATTCCAAATCCTTGATACGCTAATTCAAGTTATATAGAAGTACTTCTATTTAATCGAAATTATACGAGTATACTGGGCAGTTAATGTTTGAGAACGTGATTTTGTATTATTTTAATTACAAGATGCCCATATTACATTCATTTTCAAGTTTCGCTGTTCACTTGGAAGCCCCAGGTGAATTTGTGTTGTTTCCCACCATCTCTAGTGTTATGTCTGGCTGGTCCGCTGGAACCTGCACCAGTGCACAAAAGTCCATTATAATGAAAAACATATTTGGAGAGTGGAGAAAACAATCAACAAGACACCAACTCTCATATTCTAAATGCTCATGGCAACTTTCAAGTTTCTACTAAGGTTTTTTTTTATAAAAAACATAATTAAATGGTCATGAATTACTACCATCCATCATATTGTTTTAATTCCCGAACTAATAAATCTATCATTTCATTCTAATTTTATTTAGTGTATATTAATCCAGCTAGCCCCTTTTTATTTTATTGCAGTTGGTTATATTGAATGTACGTAAAACATATTGTCATATATTGTCTCTGTCTCACTAAGATTGTCTTATTTTACTTTTTCAGAAAATTCACTAAAATTGTCTCATATCAAATTCGGTAAGGTTTGTGTGACTCTAAATTATTTTAGATTATCAATTTAATATCAATCACATAAACTTATTTTTCTTAATAACCATGTCACCTCCTCTTTTGCCAATGTTAGTGAAATGGAGGTAGTAAATAGAAATAATTACCCTATGTATGACTAAAACTCAATGAGTTTTTCAATATATGACCCAACTAGTTTTTTTTCCAAAATAATATTAATATTCATAAAATTTAATTGAAATTCGGATTTAATAAATAATTTTTATGGTCAAATATACCATTTAGCTTATATCTATAACACCCTAACCTCTTTATAGAAGTAAAGAGAAGAAGCTGTATTCTTATGTATACATCAATAGATTACAAGTGTAAATATACAATGAGAAGTGAAGAGCTGTAGTAACAAAACTCCACAATATAAGGCACTATCAACACTCCTATAACCAACTAAGAAATGCCTTATGACTAGAACAAACAGTTACTAATTGAATATTTAAAAATATAGCTGCTATTACCCCCCCCCCCCCCCCCCCCCCCCACGCAAGCTCAAGGACAGGACGTACTTGAAGCTTGTGACGAAGCTGAGCAACCCGATCATTCCTCAATGGTTTTGTAAAGAGGTCTGCAAGCTGATCAACGGAGGACACATGACTGATTTTCAGAGCAGCAGATTCTATTTGTTCACGGACAAAATGAAAATCAAGTGCAGTATGTTTTGACTGTGAGCTGATTACTGTATTTTTGCACATGAAAGTAGCCTCAACATTATCACAGAGCAAGACATGAGGTTGTGGAAGTCGCACATGCAAATCACAAAGTAGTTGTTGTATCCATAAGAGCTCGGCAGCGGTGTAAGAAAGTGCACGATATTCAACTTCAGTACTCGACCGAGCCACCACACGTTGCTTTCTGGATGTCCAACTAATCAAATTGTTGCCATGGAACACAATAGGTTAAGATGGATAGAAGGATCAGCTGGTGTTGCAACACATTTGGTAGCAAGCATGTTGGTGCGGCTAAGAATATCATAAATATAGTGTTGCTGGGAAAGAGTGAGGCATGTGGATGTCCTGGTAACTTGAACACCAAGAAAGTAATTAAGGTGACCGAGATCCTTGAGAGCTAAAGTATGATGCAGACCATTAATGAACTGCTGGATAAGCTGAGGGTTATTGTCTGTAATGATGAGATCGTCAACATACACAAGGATGTAAATAGTGGCCGAAATAGAAGAATGGACAAACAAGGATGTATCAGATTGACAGGCTCGAAAACAATGCAAACTGAGATGATATTTGAGTTTGTTAAACCATGCACGAAGGGCCTGTTTTAGCCCATAGAGGGCCTTATGCAATTTGCATACGTGATGTGGTCGAACAGGATCTTCGAAGCCCTTTGGTTGCTCCATATAAACATTCTCCGCCAAATCTCCATTGAGAAAAGCATTATTGATGTCCAGCTGCCTGATTTGCCAACCCTGTGATAAAGCAATAGAGAGAACTAACCAAATGGTGGTTGGTTTGATGACGAGACTGAATGTGTCAAAGAAATTAATCCCTTCTTCCTGACTAAACCCTTTGGCGACCACGTGTTATTTCTCATTAAAGCATCAAATTCATTTTTCATTGCATTGAACCAAAAAGGGTTCTGTATAGCCTGAGAGAAAGTATGGGGTTCACTGGTGGGTGGTACTTTAGTGGAGGTAAGAAAAATTTTGGGCTTGAGAGAGTTGGTACGAGCACGGGTGAGCATGTTGTGGTGGTTACTTGCAGCAGAACGATAGTGAGATGGGACAGACTTTTTGGCTTGAGAGCTAATGGTGGAGCAATGATAAGAAGGACACGGAGATGGGGAAGAAGCTGGAAGGGAAGGAATAGGGGACGGTGTGGGAGATGGTGGGAAATTATCTGGTGGAGGTGGAGGGGAATTATCTCGTGGAGGTGGAGGGGATAGAGAGGAGGCAAGATCAAGAGCACCAGTGGGGCTGGGGTTTGAAGGAGTAACATGTGAAGGCATTAGGGGCAATTGGGCAACAGTAGCAAAAGGAAAAACATCCTCATTGAAAACCACATGTCGGGACACATAGATGCGAGATGAGGGGCAATGAAGACACAAATATCCCTTGTGAGAAGGGTTGTAACCAAGAAACACACATGGCAAATGTTGGAGGTATTGGTCCTACCAAGGCCTCCCTTCCACTTTATTTGCTGAGGCTTGCACCCTATTGTTTTACTCCCACTTTGGTACCTTTTCTTTGGTATATATCCTGATCAAATATATACCTATTTTGAGTGGTTGACTTAATCTCTTGGCTGGCCCCTTCTCTGCCTCCTGTCCGCTGCACTCATTGCCTGGCAGCCTGTGAGCCTTTTTTGTCTTGGCTCTCACCCATGACTTCCTTCTGGCCGTTGCTATTATTTAGAGGCCTTGGCCTCTTCCTGTGGAAGTAGCCTGCGTAGAAAAATTCCTGAGAGCAGAGCTCCCTTCTTCTTCCTTTGTGTGAGAGTAGAAAGGTCTTAGTGGAGAGTTGAGAGTGGATGCTATAGCCTCCTCCTAGTGTGGTGTATGTGATTATAGTGAAATAGACCTGAGCCGGAGACGGATAAGATCCTAACAGTGGTATCAGAGCCAGGTTCGCCGTCTGCCGCCGTTCACCGCCGACGTCCCGCCGCCGCCGCCCGCCGTATGCCAGGTTGGAGCTCGCCGACGTAGGGAGTTGCTCGCCGATTTGTTCGTCGCTGGAACTACCGCCTACCAGCGTCGCTGCAGGCCACCATTGCTGCGAACATCCATAGACGCTGTTGAAGCCCTGCGCACATCCATTGACGCTGGGAGTTGAAGCGCTGCCATCCGTCCGCGTAGAAATCGTCACCATCTGAGCCGGTCGCCGCCGTCCGAGAGTCCCGCGGAAGTCAGCCAAAAGCCCCCACCTGCGAAGGTCTGGAGTTCGTTCCTCGCGGAACGCAGATAGCAGGGACGAAGAAGTCTACTGGGCTTCAATTGCTGGACCTTGGGCTACTAGATTTGGGCCTGGTGGACTGCTTCTGGAGCTGAAGGAGCTGGGCTGCTGACCTGCTGGATTTGGGCTGCCAAGCTACTGGACCTGTGCTGTTGGGCCGCTGGACTGACCTGCTGGAGTTGCTGGAGCAACTGGACCGCCGGTCAACGCCGGTCAACGCCGGTCAACGCCGGTCAACGCCGGTCAACGCCGGTCAACGCCGGTCAACGCCGGTCAACAGTCAGAAAAATCCCAATTTTTTTTTTAAAATTGGGTAGGTAAGGTCGAAACCCTCTCCTAGGGTTTCGCTAAGGTAAATTGGCTATAAACACCCTAGGTCCACCGGGTGCCTCCGGATTTAATTTTATTCCCCCTCCCCGCGGGCCGCCGGTAGATTGTATCCCGGCCGCCAACCCCCCAGGTGCGTTTGCTAAACCCTCTCCTTTGTGGCAGATTGTTTAGTTGTTTAAATTGAATTGCTAAGTGTTACTTAATTCTTTTGTTATGCGTAGGGGTGGTTTATTGAGTATTAGGGGTAGAATTAATTAATGTTAACTGCTGCCCGGAGTTGTTTTATATGCCAAACTGTCCATATTTGCTATTTGTTGCATGCTGCCCGGGGTTATTAAAGTATATACTTTATAGCCCGGGTTGGATTAGTTTCTGTCAAATTTGTCTGTTTAGCTTTGTGTTGTTTTGTGGTTGATACCATGGCTGCTAATCAGTATGGTATGCTTCCATTTAATGGAAAAACAGATTTTGATATTTGGAAACAGAAAATTAAGTGTGTGTTAATACAACAAAAGGTTTTTAGAGCTGTCACTGGTATTTTCCTTGAATCAGAAGATAAGGCTAAGCAAATTGAAATGAACGAAACTGCTTGTTCTACTATTTACTTGAATCTGTCTGATTCTGTGCTTAGGAAAGTGGGTATTCTTGAGTCCGCTAAGGAATTGTGGGAGAAATTGGATAGTCTCTATACTGATACCTCTTTGCCCGGGAAGTTGTTTTTACTTGAAAAATTCTTTAGGTTTAGGCTTGACCTGACTAAGGATATAGATGAGAACCTGGATGTGTTTAATAAACTGATACAGAATATCAAACAGGCAGGTGATAAACACATAGACGATTATACTCCCATAGTATTACTTAATGCCATTCCCGACTCTTATAATGATGTTAAGTCCGCTATTAAGTATGGTAGGGATGAGATTTCGTTAGATATTGTTGTTAATGGGTTAAGGAGTAAGGAATTAGACCTGAAGCATGCTAGGGGTAGTGCTAGTCAGTCTAGGGACTCCGGTGAGGCTATGTTTGTTAGAGGTAGATCTAAGGGTAGGTCTAAGAACTCTAAGCAAAATAGTCAAAATAAGAACACTAGTCAGCCTGGGAGAAAGAGGAGCAAATCTAGGAAGAGAGTGTGTTACAATTGTGGTAACGCTGACCATTTCATTAAGGATTGCCCTAAACCTAAGAAGACCGAGCATGCTAGTGTAGCTGTTGATAAATGTGACCTTGGTGATATTTTGATGGTTTGTGACCATGTTAATTCTGTGCGTAATTCCCTGTCTGAGCATGAATGGTTGATTGACTCTGGTTGTACCTATCACATGTCCCCCTTTAGAGATTTGTTTTCTACATATGAATTATGTGATAGTGGCTATGTTTCCTTAGCTGATAATAAGAGATGCAATGTGCTTGGTGTGGGTGATATATGTCTGAAGTTTTCTTGTGGCTCTGTGTTTACCATTAAGAATGTGAGGCATGTCCCTGATTTGTGTCATAACTTGTTATCTGTTGCTGCTTTGGAGAGTAGTGGTTTACAGGGAAAATGGGGGAATGGTTGCATGAAAATCTTGAAAAATTCTCTTGTGTTGTTTAAAGCTGAGAAGGTGAATAACCTTTATGTGTGTCATGCTAAACCTTTTACTGAGTCTGTGAATGTTGTATGTTCTGATAAGACCTCTTTGTGGCATAATAGGCTAGGACATATGAGCAATAAGGGTTTAGATGTCATGCGTAGGGCTGGTTATTTTGGTAAGGACTCTGTGACTTCTGTGCCTTTCTGTGAATCATGTGTGTTAGGCAAGCAGCATAGAGTCAGCTTCCCTCCTTCCTCTTACCCTAATCTGTCTAAGTGTTCGTCTGTGCTTGAATATGTTCATGCCGATGTTTGGGGTCCTGCCAGTGTTCCTACCCACGGGGGTAGGAAATATTTCCTTTCTATTATTGATGATTTCTCTAGGAAGGTGTGGGTTAGCCTTTTAGAACACAAGTCTGATGTGTTCGTGAAGTTTAGGGAGTGGAAAACCCTAGTTGAAAACCAAACTGGCAGGAAGGTTAAAACCCTTAGGACCGATAACGGGTTAGAGTTCTGTAATAAGGAGATGGATAAGCTGTGTGTGGATTGTGGGATAAAAAGGCACAAAATTGTGCCTTATACTCCCCAACAGAATGGGATAGCAGAGAGAATGAATAGGTCTCTGTTGGATAAGGTTAGAAGCATGTTAGCTACCTCTGGTTTGTCTAAGAAATTCTGGGGTGAAGCAGTTACTACTGCTGCCTATTTGGTGAATAGGTCCCCGTCTGTCCCACTTGGTGGTAAATGTCCTGAAACCGTCTTTACCGGTAAGCCTCTTGATCTGTCTAACCTTCGGGTGTTTGGTTGTGCAGCATATGCACATCAACATGGTGACAAGTTGGATCCTAGGTCTAAGAAATGTGTCTTCCTAGGTTATCCAGAGGGGGTAAAGGGTTACAGGTTATGGGATAGGAACCAGGTAGGCTTTAAGGTGGTCATTAGCAGAAATGTGGTGTTTAATGAAACTGATTTTCCTTGCTTGACCGAGTATGTTTCTACTCCTGAGTCTAGGTCAGATAGTACTCCTAGTGAGGTGGAGTTTGTCCCTGTTGCTGCTAGTCCTTTATCTGTTGATCCTGTTATTACTGATGATATTGTTATGCATGATTCTGATTCCTCTGAGCATGATAGTCCCACCACCTCGAGTGAGGTGGAGCATTTGCATGATACTGAGCATGATTTGCATGATATTGGTGCTGAATCTGACTTTCATGACAACAATAATTTGCATGAGTTACATGTGGAGCCTAGTAGTGATAATTTGTATGATTATCAACTTGCTAGAGATAGGGGTAGAAGGGCTATTAGGAGAACTGCTGATAGTATGCCTGATTATGCTTTCATTGTGCATGATACTTCTATGTTTGCTTTTTCTGTGTTTGAATCCCTAGAGCTGAATGAACCCAAGACCTACCGTGAAGCCTTAGGTTCCAAAGAGTCTCAGAAATGGATTAGAGCCATGAAAAGTGAGATGGACTCTTTGAGAGTGAACCAGACTTGGACCCTTGTACCTAGACCCCCCAACTGTTCGGTAGTTGAGTGTAAGTGGTTGTTTAAGGTTAAGGAAGAACCTAGTGATGTTAGGTTTAAGGCTAGGTTGGTTCCGAAGGGGTTTACTCAAAAAGAGGGGGTAGATTATGTAGAAATCTTTGCTCCTGTTGTTAAATTCACCACTATTCGTATGATGCTTGCTTTAGTTGCTCACCATGACTGGGAAATGAAACAAATGGATGTAACTACTGCTTTTTTTGCATGGTGAATTGGACAAAACAATTTATATGACCCAGCCTGAGGGCTTTGTGGATCCCAAGAAAAGTGAGCATGTCTGTTTGCTTAGGAAGGCATTGTATGGCCTGAAGCAATCCCCTAGGCAGTGGAACATCAAATTTGATAAATGCATGATATCTTTGAAGTTCCAAAAATCTGTTTGTGATCATTGTCTGTATTTCAAAAATACTTCTTCTGTGCCTGTATTTTTGTTACTCTATGTGGATGACATGCTGATAATTAGTCCTTCTCTGAATGTTATTAAAGATGTGCAAAAATGCCTTTGTGCGAATTTTGCCATGAAAGACCTAGGTGATGCCAAGAGGATCCTAGGCATAAACATTGTTAGGGATAGGAGTAAGCGCACTCTTACTTTGAATCAGATTTCTTACATAGAAAAAGTTTTGAGTAAATTCAATATGTTATCTGCTTCTCCTGTTAATGTCCCCATGGCATCTCACTTTGTGTTAAGTAAGGACCAGTCTCCCAAGACTACTCCTGAAATTGAGAAAATGAAATCTGTGCCTTATTCCAGTGCAATAGGGTCGGTGATGTATCTCATGGTTAGCACTAGACCTGATATTGCATATGCGGTCAGTTGCTTGAGTAGATATATGTCCAACCCTGGTTTGCCCCATTGGAATGCTCTTAAGTGGTTGCTTAGATATCTGATTTCTACTGTGAAGCATGGATTAATTTTCTCTAAATGTGCTAATGGTATTGAATTGATTGGTTATGTTGATTCTAACTATGCAAATGATAGAGATAACAGGAAGTCGACCACTTCTTATGTTTTTACTTTGTGTGGCTCTTGCATTAGTTGGAAGTCTCAACTACAGCCTATTGTGGCCCTTTCTACCACTGAGTCCGAGTATGTTGCGGCCACAGAAGCGTTTAAGGAAGCCATCTGGCTCAAACGCCTTGTCTCCGAAATTGGGTTTCTCAAAAAGGGAGTTACCATTTTCTCGGATAGCCAATCGGCTATCCAACTTTGCAAAAATCTTGTATTTCATGATAGAACTAAGCATATTGATGTTAGGTTCCATTTCATACGTGATATTGTTGATGCAGGTGGAGTCAAGCTGTGCAAGATCCCGTCAGAGTTTAACCCTGCGGATATGGGTACCAAGTGTCTTTCTGCTGAGAAGCACTTGTCCTGTAAACGCATGTTAAACTTTGATTGTGGATAACTGTGGGTTGCGTAATAAAGTGTTTGCCCGTTTTATCTGTTGATATTTCGGGTGACCCGGCGATGATGAGTCTTGTCACAACCTTATACTGTTTCTCTACACCACCTAGGACCAATAAGGTGGAGAATGTTGGAGGTATTGGTCCTACCAAGGCCTCCCTTCCACTTTATTTGCTGAGGCTTGCACCCTATTGTTTTACTCCCACTTTGGTACCTTTTCTTTGGTATATATCCTGATCAAATATATACCTATTTTGAGTGGTTGACTTAATCTCTTGGCTGGCCCCTTCTCTGCCTCCTGTCCGCTGCACTCATTGCCTGGCAGCCTGTGAGCCTTTTTTGTCTTGGCTCTCACCCATGACTTCCTTCTGGCCGTTGCTATTATTTAGAGGCCTTGGCCTCTTCCTGTGGAAGTAGCCTGCGTAGAAAAATTCCTGAGAGCAGAGCTCCCTTCTTCTTCCTTTGTGTGAGAGTAGAAAGGTCTTAGTGGAGAGTTGAGAGTGGATGCTATAGCCTCCTCCTAGTGTGGTGTATGTGATTATAGTGAAATAGACCTGAGCCGGAGACGGATAAGATCCTAACAGCAAAGATAGAAAATCCATTTTGTGATTAGTGTTTGGGCGTAAGAAGGGATAACACAAGCAACCGAAAGTGCGTAAAAAGGTATAATCCAGAGCTTTGTTATATAGGGTGGAATATGGAGAGTGTTAGTGCAGGGTTGGTGTAATGGTGCGATTATGAATATATGTGGCTGTTTTGAAAGCATGTTCCCAGTATTGGTGTGGAAGAGAGGACTGAGCTAGTAGAGATAAACCTTTTTCCACAATGATCCGATTGCGTCTTTCGACAACTCCATTTTGTTCAGGGGTGTAAGGGCAGGAAATGCGATGGTGGATGCCACACTGTTCAAGATATGTGGAGACGTTTCGAAATTCTCCGCCCCAATCAGTTTGGAGAGTTTTAATTTCACAATTGAATTGTGTTTGGATCATGGTGCGAAATTTGACGAAAGTGAATAGAACTTTGATTTGTGGGATAAAAAATAGATCCAGACGAATTTAGTAAAATCATCAATAAATAAAAAAAATAACAATTGCCATTAATGGAACATAAGGGAGACGAACCCCAAACATCCGAATACATTAATTCAAATGGTTTACTACAAGAAACATGAGTATGAGAAAGATGATATCTGTGGCTCTTGCCAAACTGACATGGCTCACATACAGATGATAATTTATTGGCTGAGACAGAAGGCTGAAATGTAGACACCAAACGACGAAGAATGGACTCATGAGGGTGGGCAAGCCGTTAATGCCAGCCATTTAACGACGTGCGGACACCAGAGAAGGCCATGGTAGAGGAGGTGTTATTGAATGGAGGAGACAGACGGTAGAGGCCATTTTCAACGTGCCCTTAGAGGATTGTTGTGCCCTGCAAGGTCTTAACAAAACAAGAGTTAGGCCAGAACTCCATATAGACACCATTATCTCTGGCGAGTTTGGAAACACTAAAGAGATTTTTGGTTAAATGAGGACCAATGAACACAGACGACAAATGCAATTTAGATAATGAAGAAGAGCCAATATGAGAAATAAGCAAATGGTTACCGTTTCCGACTTGCAGTTTGTCCCCACCGGTGTAAGGTTCTGAGATGCTCAATTTGTTGATGTCAGGGGAAACATGATCAGTGGCTCTATGTCAAAATACCAAGATGGGTCAATGATTCTAGAGAGACCAGTGAAATTTGCAACGTTCGCCTGCCGAGGTGGTTCACGGGGATTGGGACGACGAGAAGGATAATCAGTTTGATTTGTACATTGCCAACAGTTGATGGCTTCATGACCAGGATTATTGCAGAGTTGGCAATGGAGGCAACAACGTCGTTGATCAGTGCCACGAGAGGAGGAAGTGGAAGTACCTGGAGAGTTGAAGGATGGTTGGGTGTTGTTACGAGAGACCTTATGTGCCATAGGAGGAGGGAAGTGGGCAGGAGCAGGACCAGGGACCATAGGGAGCTGCGTGGCAGCCTGGCGAGCAAGTTCATGATCAAGACGAGCTTCCCCCTGTAGTAACAGTCCAGCAAGAGTATCGACAGTGGCGCCATCACAATGGATCATGAAGGCAGAAGTAAATGATGCATAGGAGGAGTCAAGACCACCGAGGATGTATCCAATGAGATCCTCATCCGAGATAGGGTGGAGATTCTCGGCTAGAGAGTCGGCAATTTGACGCTTGCGTTCAAGATAGTCCATCATGGATAAAGATCCCTTAGAGAGAGTCTGCAGCTGATTTTTCATCGCCAGGCAACGAGCACGGGTTTGCGCTTGAAAGGTACGCTCAATTGTAAGCCAGGTAGCCTGAGAGGAGGTGGAACGAGCAACCAAGGGGCAGAGCACACTTAGATAGAGTGGATTTGAGCCACAGAAGAACAAAGCGATCACGCTTTTTCCAGGCAATAAAGTCAGGGTTAGAGGTGGCAGCACTAGCATCATCATCGGGAGCAAGAAACTCCGGTGGAGGGCTAGGGTTCTGAATGAATGATTCAAGATCGACGGTTTCAAGTGCAGAGATAATAGTTGTACGCCAGAGAGAGTAATTGTCTCGATCTAGTTTAATACTAATGGAGGGAATTTGGAAGTTGAGATTGGGGGACGCGAAATTGGCGGCTGTAAGTAGCTGTTGATTTTGAAGAGCCATTAGAGGTTAGTAAGAAGATCGGCTAGAGAAAAAATGAAACTTGCTCTAAAACCACATAGAAGTAAAGAGACGAAGCTGTATTCTTATGTATACATCAATAGATTACAAGTGTATATATATACAATGAGAAGTGAAGAGCTGCAGTAACAAACTCCACAATATAAGGCACTATCAGCACTCCTATAACCAACTAAGAAATGCCTTATGACTAGGACAAACAGTTACTAATTGAATATTTAAAAATATATCTGCTATTACTCCTACACATTTCCTTCAACCCTAGCCACAATATCTCAACACCCACCCGCGTAGCCGCCTTACCGTCCAACCGTCGCCTACCGTCTAGCCACTGCCGCCCGTCATCTAGCCACCGACAGCGTCCACCCTTTAGCGAATGACCATTATTCATGTAGATCGACAGCCTCATGGTCCTGAACTACAAACAGGATGCCATTGACGGCCAAGAGATGGGGCTAATGCGAGGACTAGTGAAGCAAACCACGACCACCGTGAGGGAGTGATGAAGAGGACGACTGGACATGCTGCGCCTTCGCCGCCCTTGGAGATTGGAGAACCAATTTAGTTTGAGATTGAATTCCGAGGTCAACTCGTCGCTTGCGCATTGAATTGTGGACTTTCTGGGTTTGACCAACAAAGATGACGGCTCAACTATAGTACCGGGATATTGGGTTTTGGAGGTCGAGTATCTTCCCTATTCTTCAAATATTAACAATATGATTATGATCTTGTGAAGCACTGACCAATCTTGTCCGCCTCATTCTACGTTGTGTATTTTTTTAAAAAAAAATTAGGGGTTCTTGAATTTATGTTTTGTGGGCATTAAATATGGGCACTAAACATTGACAATGAACATTTTAATAAGTGGAAAGTGAGTATATAAGGTAATAGACATGTTATACATGACTGAATGCATTAAGAAATTTTGTTGTTGGCAATGAAAGAATGCATTAATTAAGAAATTTAGTTGTGCGGTGATTATCACCAATATTATTATGAAATGCAATATACTTAATTAGATGTAAAATAATAAAATTATTAAATCTAAAAAAAATGAAAAATAAATTCCTCAAGTGAATGAGAAAAGAATTAATTTAGGCGAAAGTGCAGTAATTATTACCGGATGTGCAGTAAGTTCATGCATTAATGTCGTGCATTAATGTCAATATAAAGTGCAATATTTTTAATTGGATGAAATTAGTACAAAATACACATATTTTAAATAAGGGAATTTTCGTCATTCAACCTTTAAATATAAACGAAATTTCTTTTATTTTGGGATTTTCGATCATACAAAAGTCTAAAAACCAGTTAAGTCATAGTTTGGGAAAATCATTGAGTTTTAGTCATATCCTAGAAAATTTCCCTAGTAAATATGTAAAACAACCACTCGCCTATAGTAGTTTGTATTTAAGATAAAAATCAGGCCGCTTTGCTGATTGAGTCATCGTGATTAACCTCCCCACCATCCTGTCGGGTCGGGATGGGGGGCTCCTGGGGTGGGGGATTCCACCTTTTTGGTCCAAGATAAAAACCAGATGTAACAAGTCCAGTCCCCGATAGTTGCAGAGGCCCTATATTTTTTGCATTTAGCATAGTTAACTCTCATCGCAGTTGGCGGGATTCGAACTCGGGACCTAATCCTTGTGACACTCCCTCGCTACCAGTTGAGCTACGCCCACCGGTTAATAGATAAGGATAGATATTATTTACTAGTACTACAAGTACCTACAAAATAGAGAGTTGATCAAGTGGACATTCAGGTCCATCCCATATTTGACTCATTTGGATGGAGGAAAGTAGAAAATATTCGACTAGTATTACTCCTAAAGATGATGGATAAAATTATGACCTACTAACTAGTAATGACTATAGTTGTAAACTTTAAGTCACATTTTTTATGAGTTAATTTCCTATATAGGAGTAAAACTCGTACAAAATGCAATAATAGGACTCCGATGTTTTGTAGTGTCTTGTAGGAGTAAAAAGAGGAGACTTGACACTATTACCCTTAATTAATAAATCAATTTGTTTATTAATTAATATTAATAATACAAAGTAAAATAATAAAACAAATTGTTAAGCCCAACACAATCCTCACGCACAAGACTCACGCTTATGGTGCAACCTTCACTGCCACCACCGGCTTTGGTGCCGTCGTCACGGGCGACGGCGGCACCGGTGACGGCACCACCACCACCGGAGTCGGAGCCACCACCACCGGTGTCGGAGCCACCGCCACCGGTGTCGGAGCCACCACCACCACCGGCGCCCGACCTTATCTAGTCTTTCCGTTGGCCGCCACCATACCAGCGTCTTCGCCGCCTTATCTGTGAACTCTGGCATCGCCGCTGCCGGCTTCCACGGATCAGACCACTGTAGATCTCAGATCTGATGAAAAATTATTTAATGCCATGTTAAAATCATAATGCCATTTTGTAAAAAATACATGACATTAATAGTGATAAAATATGGCATTATTTGCCTAATTTATTCAGACATTGTCATCTTTATGATGTTAATGCCATTATTGAAAATGACATTATTTACCAAACATGGCATTATTAAATAATGCGATTATTCAAGTATTAAAATGGCATTATTTACCAAACAAATTGAAAAACATGTCATTTTTAAAACAATTTTGTTATCTTAATACATGTAATATAATGAAAACAACATTGTTTTCAAATCCGTTTTAGAAAAATAAACATTAGCTATAGATTTTTCAGATCCAAATTTATTAAATTGAAAATTTTAAAATAAAAAAATTAAAATTAAAAAATAAAAAAATAAAAAATAAAAATCAGATTTTTTTTTAAATCACTGGACGTTTGTATTTTAAAAATAAAAAAGCAAGATCTTAAATTTTTATATAAACAACTTGTGGAACCTCAGATTTTCTACTCCCAAACTTTCAAACCTATATTTAAAATTTTCCATTTTAAAAATAAAAAAGCAAGATCTGGAATTTTCTTATTATTTTAATCCTATTTAGGGCAAATACTTATTTTTTATCCATGACTGTTTTTTATTAATACTAGCTTTGAATAAACTATGGGAAATTACTCAAAATAGGAGGAAATGACACTTGGAATTCCAAAAATAAGACTAGTATGTTTTTCTCCCCGAAATAGGAGTTATTACTGTCATGTATGAAAAATACTGCCATGATTGAAAAATACTGTCATTAATTATAATGAATACTGTCATGTTAAATGCACTGTACTGCAACTATTTGGCAGTCACGGCGACAAGATGACAGTAAATTCTGTCATGTTAGTCTCATTTCGGAAATAAAAACAAAGTAGTTCTATTTTGAAATTTCAAACTTCATTTACTTCTATTTTGGGAAATCTCCTCTAAACTATTTGTTCATATTAATATATTATGGGACCTAAATTCACCGTTTAAAGTAGGACCCATAAAGTTGATTAGACAATCCCAAGTCCTAACTGTAAATCAAACTTCATAAAATAAAGTATCGACTAGATTGTTACTATTCACGTCAACTTAAATCACTCCTTAATCTTTTACTTTATAGATCAAAATTTTATGAAATTTGAATTATTTTTTGCAGACTTTGTAAACGTTTTAATGTAGTTTAATGTTATTTACTAAAAATAATGTGAGTATTGACAGAGATCATTTAACTTTTATCGTTGGTCTAAACCCATAAACTGCAATTGGAAGATTTGTTTAACACCCAGCAGAGTGTAGTTAAACAAAAGTATGGGAACAGATGTACTACCACTGCGTTGCTATGACTCCTTGAATTGGCAAATACTCCGTATAAGTCCGCTGCCCCTGAAAAGTTGCCTTCAGAAATATTCTGCGTGATTTGCTTAGCCACACTGCTTTGTTATAAGTTTTATGAATTATTACACAATAGTTGGCTTTTTCAGAGTTGGAACAATGGGATTTACTAGAGAGGTTTCAGATCAGAAATGTACATGTTCACTTGTTCCAGGCCAATTTCATCAATTCTTGAGAAAGTTTGCAGCAGATGCCCCCATGAAAGCTGTAATATGGTAATGCAGAGTCTTAATTTCTTTCAAGAGATTTTAGCAAAAATGTTGTTTTTTAACTTTCAATCGTAAACAGGGGCGGAGCCAGGACACTGGGCCGGACTGGGCCGGACTGGGTCAGTACAAAGAATATTTTTAGAAAAAAAATTACACGAAATTTTCTACCTTAAAAATTAAGCCATTTTTAAAATTTGGGGTGGGCCATGGCCTAGGTTGGCTCACCCCTAGCTCCGCCCATGATCATAAATATCACTACAGCTCATTTGGTAACATTGAAATCGGCTGAAATTTATGAAGTTCTGGCTGAATTGACTCTATTTGCTGATTCTGCTTATTTATGAAGAAATTATAATTAAAATATATTTTATTAATAAAATAAAGAAACAATTATATGAAAAAAAACCTAAAATGTTCTTCTATAGTAACTTCAGCCTACACATCCATAAAAGTAACTACAACCTCACTTTTTCTTATTATTACACAATTCAACGCGCGAAATCAAAAGTTACGCGTTTGATGAAAAAGCTGGCTGATAAGCCGAAAAACAGGGTCAACAAACGGCCTCTTATGAAATTGCAAACCATCAACGGGTCATTAGTATGTTTGTTAGTATTTTAAAATTAACACTGACTAGTTTACAGTTAGTAACTACATCAGACATCGTTGTTATTAAACTCTTAGAGCCTGTTTGGTAACATGAAAATTGATTGATTTGCCTTATTCTGTTGAAATTTATGAAATTCTGGCTTAAGTGACAGCATTGGCTGATTCTGCTGATTCAAGAAAAAATTGTTCTTAAAATAAATTTTATAAATAAAAAAATGAAAAAATTATATGTAAAAATAACTAAAATGGTGATCTACAGTAAGTTCAGCCAATACAGCCAAAATAGTAACTCCAACCTTATTTTTTCTTATTATTACACAATTTAGCGCGCGAAAACAAAAGTTACGTGTTTGGTGAAAAAATTGACTGATAAGCCTGATAAACTGAAAAACAGTATTACCAAACGACCTTCTAATACACATTATTCTAAAAGCAACAGTGTTTGATTTATTTATTCATAATAGTGGTTTAACATTGCCAAGCAACGTACATGTGTACAACTACTCTTGGTGAATATGTCTTTTCTTTTCTTTTTTTTACTCCAGGGGTTTGGGGAGGGCCTGGGGGGCCTGGAGTAATCAAGACTGAAACTCACTTCATTGAGTTTCAAACCGTTATGTGCCTAGCAGGTTTCGAACTCGAGACCTCTCATTAGGCACGGTAATCCCACAATAAGCTGGACTAGAAAGCTTGATTTGGTGAATGTCTTTTTGGCCATTTTTATGTGAATCAGTCAAAATGAAAAAGTTCCATTTGAATAACTTTCTCATATAGGAATTTAAAATATTTCAGGCAGTGATCTATAATAGGAAGAATTCTTCTGCAGCTGATCCATAAGAATGGGGGCATCAGTCAATCAATGAAAAGGAATACTATAAAATATTTTAGAATTCATGAAGACATGATTTAAATTATAAACTTTCATTACGAAATAAATAATGTTATCCCAAATCTACATAATTGCAACACTTTTAATTTGCTATTTTAAATTATGCAATTAAACTCATAAATTTACATTTTAAAAAGAAATTATGCATGACAATGGTGCGAAAATAATTTTTTATATAAAGTTTGAGGTATTTAAATTACATATGCAAGTTTGGGGTGTTCATCTCCCTAAATAGGAGTAAAAAAGTTTTGAAATTCCAAAATAGGACTATCATGTTTTTTATTCCCTGAATAGGAGTAACTTTCTGGAATAAAAACATGAAAGTCCTATTTTGGAATTTCAAAACGTTTTTACTCCTATTTTGGGCAAT